TGTGGCAATTATTTTTTTTACTGATTGATTTTACATATATATATATATATGTGTGTGTGTGTATTTTATATATATGTGTGTGTAAATGTAATCTTGTGCGTGTATGTGCGTGCGTATGCTTTATATCAATGAAATATTTTTTTTGAGGGGTGGGGAGAGGGGGAGGGGGGGGGATATCTTTTTTTTAAAAAAAGAATCAAAATGGTTCCTTAATAGTAGGGCTGGCCGGGAATTGCGAGTGTTGATCGTGGTGTCTGTGAAGCGAAGAGAGGAGAGACGTGGTTCGTTCATTCATGGCGGTGAAAAGGGAGGAGGGGGGGGTGGGGGGGAAAGAAGTGAATCGCAGCAAAAAAAACCTTCTCTGTGTGTGTGTGTGTGTGGTGTGTGTGTGTATATGTGTTGTGTATGTTGTGGATATGTTGTGTGTGGTGTGTGTGTGTGTGTCTCTCCCCTCTCTCTCTCTCTGCAGAGCTGCGCTGGAGCTCATTCATTGATGGCTCTGTGCGGTGACTCGGCCCCATTCAGGTTTTTCTGTGGCCGCGTTTCCCCGCCAGTCAGGGTTACGCGCGCTCTGACGTCACCCGGGCACACAGCGTTTCATTAATAAAAAAACCCTCCCCCCAGCGGCTGCCGGCAGCCACTGCGCAGGCGCGGCCGCTCCACTTTTGTGAACGAAAGAAAGAAAAGTCGAACCCAATTGATGAGTGAGTGAGTGAGTGTGTGTGTGTGTGTGTATGAGTGAGAGAGAGAGAGAGAAAGAGAGAGAGAGAGAGAAAAGCTCAGCCACCCCCGCAATCTTCCAGGCAAAGCAGCCCTGAGAGCTTGAGGGAAGATTAAATCTCGACAGCGCTTCTTTTTCGAAAAAAACAACAACGTTCTCTTTTCTTTTCAGCTTTTTCCTTTTAAAAAAAACTGTCCGGCGTGAAGGGCGCGATGTAAATGCAAATGCAAATGTTGCTTTTTTTTTCTTTTTGAAAGAGATAATAAATACCTTATCCTTCGCTAACCGACGAGATAGCCCGAGACAGAAGGCGAGTTAATTTCTGTGTCTCGGAATGGTTTTTACTGCAATTAAAAAAAATGTAATTTAAAAAAAACTGACCGATAATTCTCAAAACAAAATTGCCCCACCCACTGAGGCCAGGCGAGTCTGGATGTCTGTCAACACTATGATTCATACTGAATAGTTAAAGTGGGACTGTCATCAGCTGAAAAAAAGGCAAATTTTGGTTGTTGTTGGTTTCCGTATGGTCGAGGCCAAAAAGAGACAGGGCATTTTTGTCATGCTCAAGTGACGCAGTGATGCATTTCATCAGGATTTATGTCATTGCAGTCAAGTGTTTGTAAGCAAAATAAAATTAGATTTATCAAAGCCATTTTCTTAAATGAAAACATCCATTTCAAGCACAGCTAACCGTATCTGTGTATAGGAATGGGATGGGCCAGAATGTTGGATTAAGGTCTGTAAACGCTCCAAAGGGGTTAATAAACAGAAGTATAATTTACTTCAGCTCATATCTAGGATCCTGTTTTTTGGAGGGTGGGGGAACGAGGCTATAACTAGACTGCAGAGGGATGGTGCTGGGAAGATGTGTCTGCTCTGTTTCTGTGCCTTTCAATAGCTGTACCTAGCAAACTATAACGTAAAACTAATAATTTGTTGCGACTCTACGTGGCTGGATTTCTATGAATTGTCAAAACAGAAATGGACAATGCGAAGAAAAAAAGCTTTTTGTTTTTTTGTGCAAAATGGAAGTGGAATTATTTTAACAGGATCGTTCTTATTGGCTAGCATTTTGCTATGCTTCGGTGCTTATTTCCTGCCCCCGAGGTATAATGTGCATTGGGTTCCTTTGTGGTTGTTATTTAACAGGCTTTTTTTTGCACATCTGTATGCCATCTCAAAAGATTTAAAACAGGAAGCCTTCAGCTGTTTCAGAATGAACATAAACACACCCAGTCAATTGTGAAATTTTGCTTTATGTAATAAGCTTTGAACATAAAATCACAGCTCATAGGCAAGACATACCTGACAGGACTGTTACTATGGAAGCAGGACAATAGAGACTTGCTAACAATTTGCACAATCAGAATTTTTATATATTGCAGTGCACAGAATTTTACACTGGTGTACTAAGGGAATCTTCCTGTATTGAATGCTTTGATATAATCTAGAGACGTGGGAAAATAACAAGTCAAACTTTGAATTTCACTCAAATTGCATAAATAGTTTTTGTTCTGCTTTGGTTACGTAAACCGTTTAAATGACATAAACCGTTCATACAGTGGAATTTAGAAAAGCAAAGGGAAAAACAATAGCAATATCAAGAAAACTGACCAAGATGCTGGACATTATTTTTTAAACAGTTAAAATAATCTGTTAATTTTGTTGATTATAGGGTTGTTCAGAGAGTTGAGTGATTGTTTGTGTATAAATTGTTTTTTAAAAACATAAAACTAAGTATCAATCTATGATAGGAGTAAACTATTGGCCTATCTAGCCCACCCATACAGTTTCCCACACATTTCCTTCACTGCATCTCTGCAATGCGTGCTTTCCATCTCTGTGCTTTTCCTCCTTTTGTTGGGAGAGTAGGACGGTCTG